GGACATTTATAGAGAGGAGGAGAGAGGAGGTTAGCGGAAGGGAGTAAATGAAGGAGGAAAAAGAAAAAAGAAAAAGGAGCAGAGGGATGAAGAAAGGGGAAAATATAAGAGAGAAAGAGGCCTTTGTAAAAATGTGTACCAAAAAAAATGAAAGAGGCCTTTGTAAAAATGTGTACCCAAAAAAAAAAAAAAGAGCCATTTCATTCAGTTCAATATTGCCTCTAAGGCTGTCCTTTAGAAAGTGAATTACACTTGGCTGTTCTCTCCATCAGATTGGGATTGGTTTGCCGTCAGTTTACAAGAGGCTGATGAAGATCACAGGCTGCATCTGATTGGTGGACTTGACACTAATGTAGTCCTATCTGCCCCAATCAGGAGGCAGCTGACTTCTGTGCCCCTGTCTCCATCAATGTTAAGTTTGTTTGTGTTTTTTTGTTTGTTTTTTTTTTTAAAAATTCCACCTAGCTGTAGCCGGTGAAAGGAGAAACAAGTGTTAAATACAAGTGGAGTCAGACAAGGTGACCAGGTAACATTCCAGTTGAATCAGTTAGCGACATAACAGACCAGTTTGCGAGTGTGATAAGACGTTCTTGCCAACCAAAAGTGGACAGGTATTTTAATTATTTGTTCAGAAGCGAAGCACACGGTACAGACCTTGAATTTGTTATTTGTCTAATTTGTCTGTTTTTTTTTTTTCATACAAACCTATAATTAACCTATAATTTTCTACAGATACTTAGTTAATGACCTCCTTTCCGGGGGCACTGGTGGCTTAGTGGTTGAGGAAGGACTTGGGTCCAGATGGTTTCAGGTTCGAGTCCACCAGCTGCCAAGTTACCACTGTTCACTTTGGTGATGGGTTAAAAGCAGAGGTCACATGACAAGTAGTTCACGAATCAGATGTGATCAACTAATAAAAACAGAGGAATGTATGGAGGTCTGTCTGCCTCCATTTCCCTACTGCCTGTGGCTGTTGATTAGTGTCATCACACTCACCTCTGTCATTATTCTCACCCGTATCACCTGGGGCCTTAGGTATATATACACCTCTCTCCCTTTCACTCTCTCCCACACTCTGTCTTGGTAGGGCTGGTTGTCCAGGCTCATTGTGTGCGATAGCCATGTTGTTTGTTTGTGTCCATGCTTTGTGTTCTGGATTTTATCATTCTTGGTTCTATTTCCTGGTCTATGCCAATTCATGTTTTGTTCCTGCCTGGTCCCATTTCCAGTGAAGTTTGGTTAATTTGACTGGGGAATAAACTTTCTGTAACCCGATCTACGTTTCTCAAGTGCTGCATTTGGGTCCTGCCTGTTTCCCTGTTATGCTGAACATAACAAAATGTTTGTTGTCTGGAAGACTGGACAGCTATAAAGAGATCGAAACACGTCTGGTAGGACAGATAAAAGGCCACCATTTTTCTTTAAAAATAGCGAAAAACAAGACGCGCACTGTGAACAATGTGGAACGACTATTTAAGAGACATTTGAAGCGTTATCTGCAGACATGTCCTCCATGAGATTCCCGAAAATGTAAGCATACAGAAGCATCAATATATGAGTAATTCTGCCTTTAGTATTTACTACTTTGTTTGTCTGTGTAGCATTGATAAATAAAATGTGTCTAATGTTTGTAAAATAACATGATTATCATTTTGTGAAGCCTTCGAAATGGTATTACAGATGATCTTAGCTTAATTTAGTCAACAAAATAATTTTGATATTTTGTCAACCTGAACTCAACAAGAGGATACCTTTCAATTTATTAAAAAAAAACAAAAAAAAACTACGACTAAAACAAGATCAATATTGGCCGTCAAAATGAACACACGCTTCCATTTGTGTATTCTGCTATTCTGTTACACATTTGTATACAATCTGTTACTGGCCCTACTTCGTTGGTCAGTGTCTCTTGGTCTTCCTCTGTCTTGTCTCTGTCCATCCTGCGGGTGGCGACGTACCTCCCTGCACGATGACATAATCCTGATCATAAATATTTAAAAGTCAGAGTGCAGCTCAGAATAACTGGGCCAACCCGTGCCCCTTGAGGTTTTAGTTAAACCTTTATTCATCATGACGGTTCATTCTGTCTGAAAGCAGGAGGAGGAGGTGAAGAAAAGGAGTGAGGGAGAAAAAAAGGGGGAGGAGACGGGAGGAAATGATGCCCTGCTTCGAGACTTCGTCAGCAGATTCCACATAATCCTGAAGATGATCTGCAGACTCATTATTTACGCGGATGTGATTTTTTTTTTTTTAGATTAATTATTGTCCTTATGTTAAATAAACATTCAGTTATAAGCATTATTTGTTCTTTAAAATTTAAAGGAAAACAGGTCATTTTTCTTCCCCACATAGAGAAAAGTTGGTTCTTTTACTAATTTGGAAAAAAAAAAAGGGCGATGAATGTGACAATCCCCTTAAGGGACAAAAGGTGATGCACAAAGTTGAAGCAAGGCTCATGCAGGAGATTCAGATTAGGTAGAAGCTGTTTAGTTTTATGCCAAGGAAAAAGTACGACCGATGCAATTTCTTCTCCAAGAGTGTCGGTAGAAAAGTTTAGAGAAGGTCAAAAAGAGTTGCACTGTGTCTTTATGGAGTTATAGAAATGATATGATAGGGTGCCCAGGGAGGAACTGTTACTGTATGAGACAGTCAAGAATGGCAGAGAAGTTATAAAAAGGTGGTGCAGGACATGTACTTGGCCAGCCTGCTGTCCAGAGTGAGTGACGAGTCCAAAGTAGGGTTGGGATCACATCGGTTTAACAGATGAGGTCAGACAGAAGGCTTCGTGTTTGCAGATGACTTTGTTTTCTGTGGTGAGAATAGGGAGCAGGTGCAAGAAGACTTGGAAAGGTGGAGGTTTGATTTGGAGCAATAGGGGTTAGCAAGAGAAAGACAGAATTCATGTGTGCGATCGATACCCGAATACCTTGGGTCAACCATCCGAAATAATAGGCAGTGCTAAAAAAAAAAAGAAAAAAAAGCTGTGTAGAAATGGATCATGGGATCATGGTGGATCCCAGAAACCCGAAGGTTACCACAGTGGACACCGTATTATTGTGTGTGATCATGGGGTCAAGTGCAGGGGGTGGGGGAGTTCTTCCTGAAATCCACTCTCCTCCGTTTTGAGCGTGTTTACCTCGGGGTTGTTCTGACCCCACCAGAGGACCAGTTGTTCACCTCCTGCCTGTACGCAGACTGATCAACAACCCAGATTAGAACGATGACAGTTTGACAGATGGATCTCCCAAGGTGCAGTCATTGGTGTACAGGGAAGCAGCAGGGAGAGCATGCACCCCTGGGGGGAGCCAGTGCTGATGGTCCATGAGCTGGATGTCATTTCCCCACGCCTCACCTGCTGTCTCCTGTCTGTCAGGAAGTTTGTAATCCATTGACAGGTAGATGCCGGGACAGAGATCTGTATGAGTGTGTTGAGTAGGAGGTCCGGGAGGGTAGTGCAAACAGGACCCTCGCGTATGTCCCTGGGGAATTGATGTGTTGCAGGATGTAGTGCAGACCTATGTTGCATCATCCACTGACCTGTTTGCCCGATATGCAATTGGAGGGGTGTCCAGCAAGGGTCCTGTGATGTCCTTTAGGTGACACCAACCTCACCTGAGGTCCTCGTAATCACAGATGTCAAGGCCTGTAGTGATTCGGTCCTGAAATAGGTGCGTTCTTGGGGAGCGAGATTATTGTGGAGCGTTTGAAGCAGGAGGGGATTTCACTCCAGCTCAACAGATCATTGAAGATGTTGGTGAAGATGGGGGGTGGGGGGGGGGCAGCTGGTTAGCACATACTTTCAGACAGAAGGGCGACACCTCATCTGGGCCTGGAGCTTTTCCTGGTCTTTTGTTTTCCATCTCCGTGGGAGAGGTTCCTCCGATGGGGTGGGGGATGGGTGTGAACCTGCAGTAGAAGTCATTAAGGAGGGATGGAGTCCTGTAGTCAGTGATGGACTAAAGAACTTCTCAGTGTAACAAAAAGGTTTTGGTCGGCACAAAAGTCCTCATAAAAGCTGGTGTATGATGTCACAGTGTTGTTGTGTTGTTAAGATCTGTGGCAGCAGCCTCAAAAACACTTCGATCTGTGCAATCAAAGCAGGCCTGTAACTCCGGCTTTGCCTCATTGGTCTATTTCTACACAGTCTGCACTACAGGCCTAGCAGTTTTGAACTTCTGCCCATAGGTTGGGAGAAGAGCCCGAAGGGCACATGGGAGACAGCGGGATATGCATCCTTTATGATGGTGTAGCAACAGTCTAGAGTGTTTTCATCCCTGGTGAGACATTTAACATGTTGCCTGTCTTTTGAGAGGAGAACTCCTGCAGTGAATAAAACGGCATACGGTTTAGAAATTTTGTTTTCTGGGATGGGGCTGCAAGATTTCTTCAACACTGTGCCATCTGTACACCAACTTTCGTTAAGGTAAATTAGGCCTCCCTGCGTATTCCCTGAGCGCTCTGTTACGTGGTCTGCAAGGATAAGATCAAAGACTGTATTTATTTAATCCTGAGTCTGGGATGCCTTCACTGAACCAGGTTTCGGTGAACCAGAGAGTGCCTGAAGAAGTCCTGCTGTTTAGGGCCTCTAATTTGTCCATGTAATTTCTCAGAGACATTAGCCAGGTGTATAGATGGGAGCGTGGTGCGAAATCCATCGAGGGCAACTGGACAGAGTAGGTTTCTTGAAGACGGTTCACCTCTCATCCAAGAGGCTTCTTCAGTTCTGACTGAGCATACCCATACCTCGTTACGGGGATGCAGCGTCTTTGAGGACAAGAGGTGAAACGTCTTCAAGAAACCTACTCTGTCCAGTTGCCCTCGATGTAACTATTTTTGGATATGATGACCTGGATGGACTGAGAACCTACACACACTCAACTAGCCAAGTTAATCCAAGTCTCTTTGAGAGCCAGTATGTCCGGTGCCAGGTAGTTATCGTAAGCAGCAATTAACATTCAATTGTAATCATGTAATGACTTGTCATATATGTTTCTCCACAGATATGGTGACATGGTTCCAAACACCATTGCTGGAAAGATATTTGGTTCTATCTGTTCTCTGAGTGGAGTACTGGTCATCGCTCTGCCCGTCCCCGTCATTGTATCCAACTTCAGCCGTATCTACCACCAGAATCAGAGGGCAGACAAGATGAGAGCACAACAGGTGAAGCTGAAGTTTTGGGATTGGACTGTGCCTCCAGTTGCCAAAAGCAGCTAAAAAAAAAAACCAAACAAACAGACAAACTAGAAAATGAGGATCATGTGTTCTGTTTCTGCATTTGTTTTTTCCCCCTCCTCTCACAGAAAGTGCGTTTGGCTCGAATCCGTATGGCCAAGAAGGGAACAGTCAACGCCTTCCTCCAATACAAGGAGGACAGAGCACTTGGGGTGAGATTGACAGATGCACACACAAACACAGGCCATGCTACTGTACGTACATACAATGGATCTGAGTGGGGGGGGCAATGTATTTATGTAATTTGAGGATTTTATACATATATCAACTTACCTATAAGCTGAAACATCCATCCAGTTTGGTCCACTTTCTAAACTAAACTGTATGTGTCAAACTCAAGGACCGGGGGACAAATACAGCCCACTGAGAATGTCTTTGTAGTCCACAAGAGCTTAAATAGATCTAATAAATCTAATTGACTTCATAATGAAGTCCATCTTGCTTTCTTCACTGAGTTTCTTAACGTGATGACGTGATTTTTCTTACATAAAGCAACGTATAATATATGTCAAAATATTGCTTACGCAAAAGCCGTTCTTTTGAATCCTGGGAATATTGATACATTTCATATAAAACGTTTTGTGTGTTTTTGTTGACCCCAGGATCGAGACAGTGACAGCACAGCTCTTTGTGTGAAGAACATATCAGCGTTTGAACATCAACACCATCATCTGCTGCACTGTCTGGAAAAAACAACCGTGAGATACACACACACACACTGCACACAAACATCAACAACACCGACCTACAGAATCAAGAGGTTGTTTTTTTTCCTGTTCCGTTGGGCCACATTTGGACAAATGTATTTGTATTTTCTACGTTCCTCACTTCTATTCCTGACAGAGTCACGAGTTCACGGACGAACTGACGTACAGTGAGCTGTGTATGACGGAGTCTGTTGGCTTTCGAACCAGTCGTAGCACCTCCATGTCCAGCCAGCAGGGGGTGCAAAACAATTCTACAGGCTGCTGTCCACGACGTGCCAGAAGAAGGGCTGCTATCAGACTGGCAAACTCCACAGTGTCAGTCAGCAGAGGGAGCATCCAGGAGCTGGACACGCTGCACATGAAAACCACGTCTATACCACAGCAAACGTAAATCATTTTTATACAAAGGGAGGAGTGGCGCTTTGGCCCAAAGGCAATGTCTCTGTCATTGGTGTGGAACCCCAGGGTTCACCTCCTGGGTAATTTCGAATCCCGGTTAGGGCGGTTGGTACCTTCCAGTGGACTCACCACCCGCAGGAAGGTTTGGGGGGGTTGGTACGGTGCAATGTGATTTGGGTGAAATGGAAATGGATGGATGGATGGATGGACAAAGGGAGTACATCAGTCTATGTGATAATTCATTTAACAACTATCACCTAATTCCCTTCAACAACATTGGAGTGACTCAAACAAATCCAGGCAGGCGAAGACATGGTTCACCGAACAATCCACTAAAGCGCCACATATACACAAACAATTAATCATTCATATCTGCGGTCTATTCACTAGTTAACCTCGTTCTGCAGGGTTATGGACTGTAGGAGGCAAATGTTGAAAACAGATAAATTATGCAAACGTCATGTAACTATCAAACCAGTGATCTTCTTGCTATGAGGCAGTGTTTCTCAAATAGTGGGGCAGAGGCCCCTGAGAGGTTGGGTGAGTTGCCAGAGGGGGGCGTGAGGAATGTGGTACGCTGGACCTAAGTGTACCACTGCCGTAATGCTTGAATGACAACAAGCCTCCAGTCACTAGGTGGCAGCAACTCATACAGTGGTTTGTACAGATATAAAATATACGTGTTATCAGGTTCTCAGAAAAAGAATAATGGAGCTGAAGGTAGTAATTGCCAGATTTAAGTCTCATCAAAGCCTCTGTAATGATTTGAAACTCCATAAAAACAAGTCGCATGACTTGGACTCGAGTCAGACTCGAGTCATCAATTTGATGACTTTAGACTCGACTTGACAAAATATTATGAGACTTGCAACTCGACTTGGACTTTAACATCAGTGACCCGTGACTTCACTTGGACTTGAGCCCTTTGACTCGACAAGACTTGATACTTTCTCCAAAACCCAAAGATTATAAAGTGTTGTGTATGTGCTGTTGGCACAACATCCAACCAAATTTGACCCATGTTGTTTTGACGCGATAGCGTCGAGCCAATCAAATTGCGGGACAACCATTGAGGAAGAGATGTCAAAGATACCAAAGATCGTGTTGTTCAGTGGTCAACAAACAAGTAATGGCAGTGATCTGTATAAATATATTATTATTTTGTTTAAAAGGACTCGGACTTTGCCTGTCTTGACTTGAGACTTGACTCGGACTTGAGTGCAAAGACTTGAGACTTACTTGGGACTTGGTCCCACCTCTGGTGAGTGCAAAGACTTGAGACTTACTTGGGATTTTGTATTTTTACAATTTCTGAACTGAATTAAAGCATATTGTTCTCTCTTCCTCAGTCGGTCCAGTCTAAACGCTCAGGTTGAAGACCTAAAGCTAAACTGTGGAGAACAGGACTTCACTGCTGCCATCATCAGCATCCCCACACCTCCAGCTAACACTCCTGACGAGAGCCTTCCTCCATCACCTATCCCTATCCCTGGAATCCTGCGCAACACCCGTGCCAGCACCTTTACCCATGAGAAAGTCAAAATCTCTTCGTTATAATCTCTGACCTCAGTTTCTTAGCCTGCTTTCTTTTGTGGCCCACTCTGCTGCCCTCAGATATGAACAATGTTGAATCTCTGACCTGGAACAGTACTGCTAATGGCTCAGATTCCTTGGACACACATAGATTTTCAGGAATGTTTTTACGTTTTCCTAGTTATTGATGCATCGCAGGGTTCAAAAACAGCTCCTCACTAAAAGGCAAGAATGTAACTGGATCTTACGGATGTTCTAACTTCAGGGCAAGAGTCTAGGGCTTGGACTTTTCCTGAACTGCATTCACAGATTCATAGGTTCATAACCCCAACAAGCATGTGATTTCTGCACTGTTCTGTCTTTTTTGATCTCACCGTGAAGACTTGCGGAATGGTTTGACCAGTTAGTGAACTGGCCTCACCGAGTTCCACCTGGATCCTCACCGACTACAGAAAGGATAGAAAACGAGAGTCGGTGTTTAATTAATTAATTAATTAGTTTATTTTTTTTACAGCAGTTTGGTTTGAGTAACTGTCAAAGCTGATTACACCAAAAGAAAAACAAACAAACAATGACGAGTAAAGGCTGATGCAATCAGACTGGATCTTGGTCTACAGTAATGCTTAACCGCCTTGTCTTGGATGGAGAGCTCTCAACAAGGATGTGGGACAAGGATGAATGATGTGTTCACTGACTCCGGATCATTTCAGGACACCTCTGTCCTGGAAAAAAAAAAAAGAGAAGAAAATCAGGAAAAAAAACAAACAAACGCTTTGCATGAAATAAATCTAAAAACTTCAGAAACTAAGGTGAACCGGATTCAAGTGTTCATAACATTAATAATGTGTAAAATATGTTTAAAGTTGCAGCTGTTACAGAGAAAGAAAAACATCCGAAAACATTATAGGAACTTCATTTGATAAAACAAGTGTCCTGCAATGGATTTAACAATAGAAGATACACACGATGTTGCCAATTAAGTTGTGTTTGTCCTGATGACATGACCTCTGGTTGGTTTCAGCACTTTCAACAGTCGCACTAGGGTATGACATGGGCGGATCTTCACAATCCTTGAGTTGTTAGAGAACTTTGGTAGCAAACATTTAACAAAGACTAAATTCTTAAGCTGATCCTCTTTCAACCAGACTTGCGTCCGACCCGTAAGTATTTGAAATAAAGGACCCACCTTTAACTTATGTCTACCGTGACTTGGCCAATTACAGCATTAAATTCTAATCTGAAGTTTGAAAATCAAACTCTAAGGGGAAAAAATAAGACCTTTTATGACAAAAATATTTATTTGATTTTTTTTTCCCAATACTTACTAAGATTGACATTGAAAAGAAAACCCAGTTTTCTTCGGGGTCTGTCCTCCAAGAGAGTCAGACAAACCGGGCACTGAAGATTGGGAATGTGCAGATTAAAGCTCTCAGAGGACCTTTATTCATTATTATAGAAGATGCGGCGCGGATTATCCATACAGAAAGAAACATTTTATCACTGTCCTATGTTACCTGTGTGGGCCTCAGTCCTTTTAATGAAAAAAAAAAAGTTATGATTAGATGATTCTCCTTTAGTCCAAAATGGCCACAAAACCTCTTTGTGTTGTTATTCTTCATTTAGGTAGTCTTTTTAGTTCGAGCTTGCAGCCACCATCTTCACAACAAAACCACGTAATGTTACTGTCTTCTTTTATCGGGACACCAGTATGTTCAGAATGGAGAAAGTTGAGCAGCAGTTAGTCCTTAAATCTTATAAATGTCTGGATTTCAGTGGTACCATAGTGTAGTGGTTAGCATGCCTGTGCTTTCAAGCAGAAAGTCCTGGGTTTGATTCCCAGAGGAATCACACATTTGGAATCACTCCCTCCAAGGGTCAGTCTGTTGTAGCAGTTCTGCTGTAAACACGAGAATTTTCCCAGTGTTAGTTTGTGTTTTAACCTAAAAACTTGATATTTTGGAGAGAAAAAAAATATTGGAGGTATATCTGTTATAACTTATCTCTGTATCAGAGAATTGTATGGAAAGAAAAAAAACAAAGGAAACCCAGGAAATCAATCCCAAAAATAAGAACATTTTGTAGAAAGTTGCTGAAAACATGCAGAGAATGAGGGTCATCAGTGTGCTTCCTAATTGTGGCCGTGAATGTTTCAATGGCTCTTCCTTCTCTGACAAATCAGAGGGAACAGTGACCGAGTGATGGGATTCAAACGTACTGTAACATATTTTGTATCATAACCTCATCTGCATCTTCCAATTGATTCCAAGAAAAAAAATGGGAGCTTCGTGCATGAGCCTCGTACAGTAGACGTAGAACTATTGACTCTTACTGATCGTAGGAACTTATCAATCATACCTGAAAAAAAAAAAAAGCATAAAAAAGAACATCACAACACAGAATAGGAAAAGTAAAGTATGTTCTTTTGCATGACAAGAGTTTCAACTTAGATTTGATTTTAGTTTCCCTTACCCTTTCCAGGCCTTGTTACCTTTTTTCTGTTTAACGTTTTCCCAATGAGTATCAACACCACAATGGGGTCCTGTATGTTAAAAATCATGAAACACTGGAAAAAAAATGTTTATAATTGTGTATAATTAAAAGTAATAATTAAAAAAAAAAACATTCCGGCATGTTCCTCGCCAGAATGCAAAGTTTGTGTGTATATGTGTGTGGGTATGTGAGTGTGTGTATGTGTCAGAGATGAACAGTCACAAATATGCATGGATACCGTTATAGGTATTTTTTTGGTTATCTGTTTGGATGTTGGGTTGAGAAGGTGGAGGCTGAACTCACTTTGAGATTCTTCATTTTTCATAAATCAGCTGATTTACTTGTGACAGCCATGTTTATCCATAAGGCCTGCACAAAGAAAATATATTGTCAGGACAGTGTACAGTGTTGCAGAAAGTATATATTGTCAGGACAGTGTACAGTGTTTCAGAAAGTTCTTTTATTTTTATTTTTTTTTAAGCTCAACATTTATTAAATGCAAACCAAAAACGCTGGAGAAACAGAATATTCTATATATTATATAGTCTATTCTGGACAGTAAATTGATGTATACTTTAAACATCAATTACCTGCAAAAATCTGTTGTCTTTTTTTTTTTTAACAGAAAGAAAAATATCTGTGATGTCATGAAAAGCTTTCTTCTTTGTTGTATTGCTGCTTATGTAACAATTGTCTGCAAATGTTTTTTTTTTCTGTTGCTTTTCAGCTATACTTTTTGTTTAAAAGGTTTTTTGTTACTCTATGCACAATCTTTTTCTATGCCGACTATATGCAATTTTTCTGATTCCAAGAACATGATAAAAAGAACTCTTCGGCAGACTACTAATGTTCTACTGACCTTATGCAACAATACCTGCAGAAAATCCATTTTCTGTTAAATCCGTGTTTGACTGTATAGTTTGACATTCGTTTGTTTTAAATTGCAGATACATTGTTTTGCAATAATTGCATCTTTCAATGTATTCCATTCCATGTATTGGTACATTTTTTGCTTTCAATGTATTCCATTCCATGTATTGTTACATTTTTTTGTTTTACTATGTAGAAATGCCTTTTATTTTTTAAAAATGTTTCAGTGATCAGACAGCTATCATAAGGACTTAAAGAATACTTGTCTTTATGGACAAGGGTGGGACTATTGTCGTTTATGCTTTACAATTGTCCTGTCAGTGTAGTTCAGTCTCGGGGTGAGAGAGTAAATGAATGATGAATGATGAATGAGTGAAGAAGAAAAAAAATATCATTAAAGCACAGGGGTGTATATTAAGTCCACTAATAAACAAATGAAAGCAGAACAATTATGCTAAGAGTCTCTTTCACTTAATATTTTATAAACTGGCGTCTGTCTGTTTCTATCTAGCTATCTGTCAGTCAGTCTTTCCATCCATCCATTAATCCATCTCAAGTAAAGCTATCACGCTGGAGTGTTTGGACAACAATAAAGTCGAACATTTATGAGAATAACGTCATGTAAATTTAGATAGGAGTCTTAAATGTAGATGATTTGGGGGAGATGAAAAAGCTCACAGCGTTAGCATCCTCTTTAGTATTGGTTTCATTCTTCATCCTCTCATTGACGTCACTATCACAAACGTATTGTCTTATTTTACCTTGATATAAAAATGGCCACTTTACTCTCATCAACGTATGACATTTCTGATAAACATACAACTTGTTAGCGTGTAACGTTACTAGGTTTATGAATATATTTTTCGAACACTTTCGACTTTATTCTTATAAACGTACGACTCTTTTTTATTATCGTAACGTTACTTTAGTCATGTCAATTTAACTTTTCATTCTCAGTGTGTCTCTGACACGTCGTCGTACATGTCAGCTATTCGTCACTTATGTTCTATTTTCGTAGCTTGTCTTCAACAAAAGGGAGTTTCAGTGACGCAGTGCATGGTGGGAGGAGTGTGACTGCAGGTTTCACCTGCGACTGCCACTGCTGCTGTGAGTCGCACCTGTCGCTGATGTTTCCGGTTTTTCTTCTTTGGGCGTGTAGTTCAACGGTTTCGGACTGTCTGAAACCACCGAGGATATCGAACGGATCCGGCCCCGCAGACGGTACTGAACTTTTAGACGCACTTTTGGTTTATGTCCATGTCTACTGTCACCTGTCCTTACCCGTTTGTCTAACCTGTCTCTCTCTCTCTGTCATTGTCACCTGTGTTTAGATCGCCCCTCTCCCTTTCAGTTTCTTATCGTCTGTCATTTTCACTGTGGTACGTTTTTAGTAACGTTTTCAATTTAACCTGTCAGTTGTACCAAATGTGTCTCTAGTCACCTGTCTCTCTTTGTCTTCTGTCCTCAGTGTCTCTATTTGCTTATCCCCCATTCTCTATCCTGTCACCAGTCAGTCTGTTGATACCTCACACTTTAAAAAAACAAAGTCTCTTTTTTTTTTCTTTCCTTCTGTCCCTTTCCGCTATTGTCTCTCCTAACACCTTTGCCTCTGCTGCATGTGTCTCCCTCTCCTCCCCCGGAACCCCCTTCAGCCTCCCCCGCGTCTCTGCTGACTGACCACCGCATCTCTACGATTTCAGGAGAACCTTAAAACTGCTGGGATCTTCTTGTGCATAATGGATGCGCTGGACTCAGGACAGAAGTTCAATTTGAGACACGTAAGTCCGCCTAAACAAAAGGTTAACAGGTTGTTTGTTTTTTTTTTTTTTTTGGTCAAATTATGTTTCATTAAATATGAATAAAGAACAATAAATATCGGAAATACTTGTATAGGTAATTGAATCCAATCTACATTAAGATCGATACGCCCACCATTACTGGATACCACTTATTTGATACCAGGCACTGGACACCGATTTGACACATTAATGAAGGCTAGCTTTCACTAGGATTCGGTAGAACAGCAGGTAGATGTGGGGGGGGGGGGAGAGAAGCTGATCTTTTGCATGACAATTGAGAGTTAACTGTTTAAAAAACAGCTGCTTTTTATAGACAGTTATCTTGAAAGAAGTGCACCGGGGGGGAATTTCCTGGGTCATTTCTAAGTGATGTTTAGAGACAAACTGACACCCATCTGGTGGAATGTTTGGAAATAATTAATTATATATATATATAAAAAAAAGTCCTCCAGCTGCTATGGTTGGTTACAGAGAACTGTCTGCGAACATATGTGAGAGTAAAATCTATACCGAAATAATTGGGCCTGAAATGAGCTGCCATCTGTCTATTTGATGGAAAAAGAGATGTAAATCTTGGTCATGGTATCCACACAATGGCTGGGCCTCTGGTTTTATGTGTAATTCATACTAAACGTGACACAACTCGTTCACATGTCAAAAGAAATTTCTATTTGAAATCCTGTTCAGCCCAGAGGTGGAACCAAGTCGTTGCTTTGCAAGTCACGAGTAAGTCTCAGGTCTTTGCAGTCAAGTCTCAAGTGAAGACAGGCGAAGTCCGAGTGGAGTCCAAGTCAAGACTGAAAAGTGTCAAAGTCAAGTCCCAAGTCCTGCCGTTTCTCTTTTGAGTCCTTTTCGAGTCCTTTTAAACAAAATAATAATATATTTACACAGATCACTGCCTCTCATTTTTTGTCGTTTTTAAATCCGAACGATCACGCTCGTTGTTCGACAGCTCTTCCTCGCTGGTCGTCCCGCGATTGGCTTGACGCTATCACGTCAAAACAACGCGGGTCTCATTTGATTGGATGTTGCGCCGACAGCAACTACACACACAGACGTGCACACGTACACGATGAGAGATACACAGAGCTCCTTAATAACTCGGGTTTTGGAGAAAGTATCAAGTCATGTCGAGTCAAAGGGCTCGAGTCCAAGTGAAGTCACGAGTCACTGATGTTAAAGTCCAAGTCGAGTTGCAAGTCTCTTCACATTTGGTCAAGTCGAGTCTAAAGTCATTTAATTGGTGACTCGAGTCTGACTCGAGTCCAAGTCATGCGACTCGAGTCCACACCTCTGGTTCAACCACTCACTCAACTTTATTCTAATCTGAGGTTATTTACTATTTATTTTTCCATGTTCCATGAGACTGATTAAATATTTTGTACATTTTTCAGGAGGCTGATTTGGAGACCACAGAGAACTTCCTGCCTGCTCCTGACCCGGCTCATTTGGAGAAGAAACCAGGCTTCAAGAAGAAGCTGTTCATTGGGTTGGGTCTGGTTCTGTCAGCAGCTGCTCTGTCTCTGATCACTGGGTTGCTGGTTTGGCATTTTCACTGTGAGTTCATTTATTGTTTTTTTTTTTGACCGCAGGTTTGGACCCAGTCAGTGCCCAGACAGTTTTTGTTAGAACTTTTTTTTTTAAAAAGCTTTGTGATTAGATACAGGCTGAAGACGGGTCATCTGATAGGAAGAAGAGAAGTCATCTTTATTTTCAGACCCTCCCAACAAAATTAGCACTGCACATGTAATGCATTAACTCGAACCACAAAACTTCTAATGGCTTCTAGTGACGTCATAATAAACTCATCATTGATTGGATGTCGCGATGCTATGCTGTCAGAAAAGTACAGTTTTTCCAACGTTGTTCGTGTCGCATCAGAACTCCCGTTGCACCTCCTGGTATTAAATTGCGTGTCGTTGTGTTCTTTATTTTGTTTTTCGTGGAGCGTCGCTGCCCATTTTGCTGTTTCGTCTATTGCCTTTGATGTGAGCGCCCCATTAGGCTGTTGGCTTTTGTGTTTTGTTTTTTTCTATTCATGACAAATTAGTTGTGAGGTTGTGTTTGAATTACAATTGAAATGGGCTGACAAAGGTCCAAAAAAGTCTTTATTTCGGATATGGTATCTCAGAGGTATCTTGCATTGTCCCTGCTGGTCTCAATCATTGAGAGAAATCGCGAACATGGACGTCATCCTACAGATTGTCTCATCTGCGGTCTTTAAATTTCTCTCTCTGTTTGCTTCAGTACGCAGAGATGTCAGGGTGCGCAGAATCTACATTGGTTCTATGGAAATCAATGACCAGCGATTTTTGCCAGCCTACGAAGATCCCAGCAGTTCAGAGTTCACTGAGCTGGCTGCACTTGTCAGTCGACAGGTGAGTGTTCAGAGTCCCAGATTTTTGTTTTTTTGTTTCGTTTTTTTTGGGCCACTCGTGACCAGTATTTTTTTTTTGTTTAGTTTTTTTTGGGCCACTCGTGACCAGCGTTTGACATTTTCTGTCCTTCAGCTGAAGCTCCTTTATTCCAGAAACTCTGTGTCCAGTAAATACTTTACTGGTTCCACAGTCCAGGCTTTCAGGTACGAGTCACATGACATGACATGTAATGCCTGTAGAGGTGGTTTATGTCAGGACGTTTGCCCTTGCTGTAAAATCTAACACATTTAAAGTATGTCAAAACAAAACATTTGTTCAAATGAAGATTAAATTAGCATTGCGAATCTAAAGAAAAAGCCTGTTTTTGCTGCTACAGTGAAGGCGAAAGCAGCGACGGCATTGTGGCGTATTATCAGTCGGAATTTGACGTTCCCGTCCCCCAGCAGAGGTCACTCGATGAAGCCATTGAGTCTCTGCAGCCACCTCCAGAAAGTGGTCGACATGGGCGACTACTGCTGAAACCTGTAGACGCTCTGAGCGTCAACACCGTCATCTCTAAAGGTTTGAGGTTTTAACACTGTATGTCACAATCACAGGGCAATCAAAAATTGCTATCTAATTATCTAATAATCTAATTGTTTTTATTTATGAATTATTTCGCAGCAATTGATCCGCGCATGATGAGAAACTCTTTATATGGTGAGATGCGCTGTTTTCTTAATGTTGGTCGTTGGTAATTGTTCAGTTTTGTTCACGTTCAGCTGTTTTTCCGCTGTACTTAAAAAGTCCACTTCTGCATCATGTCTATGATACATTTAATGTAACGATGCGTTGACCAAGCGCCAAGTGTTCTTTTAACAGCCTAATGTTGTACAACGCCAACTGTATTTCAGTGAAAAAGTCATTTGACGTTCACGTCAGAGAGGCGGGGATTCTTCGTTCTCCGGGTTTTCCGGACACTTCCTATCCTCCTAATGTTTACCTCCAGTGGAGGCTTCGAGCAGACCCTGAACACAGGGTCCACCTGGACTTTCACACCCTCATCCTCGAGGACGACTGTCAGCAGGACTTCATCAAACTCTACGACTCTCTGGCTCCTATAGAACAGAGAGCTCTGACTGAGTGAGTGTCACTTTAACCCAGTGGTCCCCAACCTCCCTGAGCTGCAGTACCGGCAAAAAAGGTTGGGAGGTTGAGAGGTTTTTTTTTTACCTTAAGAGTCAGAGCGGTACTTCTTCCCTGCAATGAAGTATTGTTTGGTGCTATAGTAACTCTCCAGATACATTTTGTTCTTGAGCAACCTGCGGATCGTTTTGTACAGGTGAATGAGTTGCAAATAACCAAATCTTTCGGCCAACCGCTGGAACATTTGGACCTCCGTCAAGTAAAAAGCTGTTGGAAAACAGTGATCGCTTTCAAACGTTGACGAGGCTCAAGAGACAAAAATGAGAAACTAAGCAATTTCTACTGCGATTATAAGATGCTGGGCAGTTACAATACAGACGCTGTAGGAATTTGTTGTAACTGTGTAGCGTTAAGCAGGGTTACCAGGTCGAAATGTGAGCGAGAGGCGGCGCTGACCGTGCCGACTCGCTCTGCTCCGTTAACGCGGAGAAGCAATCGCCAGAGTTTTCAAACCTCTACACTCTGTGACCTATATATAATGAGGACGCAGTTCTCCACCCCGACAATCCTTCGTCTAAACGCAAGGTCGAATCAGCACTACAGCTCCAGGATCCGGAGCTGTATCGTTGCTGCGTAAACAGGGCGTAAAAGTCTGGAAGAAAATCTGGTGTCCCACAGGGCTATATCCTCGGCCCCCTGCTGTTCATAGCGTACCTATATTTCTGTGTTGAGGTTATGATTTCAAATCCTTTCCAAGTCGATTAGTCTCACAGTAAGGTCCATTTGACGAGTCATTTAGTTACTTCATCACATTGACCGAGTAGCAATGAGCATGTTTCTCTCCACACATTGGTTTTGTAGCTTTAGCTAATGGCGATGCAACAATCAGTTGTTCAATCTAGTGATGCTTGCATAACAAGTCACTTTTCCTCTCTTGGTTTTTCGATCGTTTCATCCACCCAGGTGGTTTACACAGGGATACTCTGGTCATGTAGCCACTCCAGCATATCTTGAGTGTGAATTCCACTGTTTGTTTGTTTTTTGGTTTTTTTTGATTAATGCACAACTGGTACTGCTTTTCCCCTAAGTGTGCCCGGGAGCAATAATAGGTGGATCAATGCGTTTTTGTATGAATTTTCCTTCCATGTCAATTAAAGTTACCACCGATATTTTAAGTGATTATTGACATTGGTCAGTTAAATTGAGGATAAAACTTTAGCACAAACCATCAGAGGTAGAGAGTAGGCATGCTAACCGCTACGCCATGAAACTGACTTTAATGAAGGCACGGACGGGATTCGAACCCGTGATTTTCAGTTTACGAGACTGACGCCTTACCACTTGGCCACCGCGCCCTCTCTTGATGTCAACACGTTTGTCTGTTAATGCCCTAGTGTCCATCATGTTAATTTGTTCTTTTTTTTTACCATACATATATACCAGTTCTTGTCTAAATCAGTTGTTTAAACTAAACTTTCTGTTTTTCTTCGCTTCCAGACAGTGTGGTTACCCTCATCATTCCCTCTCTTTCATTTCATCGGGAAATGTGATGTTGTTGACCCTGGTCACTAACGAGGACAAAAACTTTCCTGGATTCAGAGCAAACTACTCACAGATTCCCATTGGACAACAACGTATGACGGTCAACACGATAATAGTATTTTAGAAAAAGAAAGTGAACTACGCACAACACAAAATGTGACCTCTGCTTTTAACCCATCACCAAAGTGAACACCTGGGGAGCAGTGGGTGGGGACGGTGCCTTGCTCAGAGCACCTCAGTGGTAACTTGGCAGCTGGTGGAGTTGAACACGAAGCCTTCTGGACCCAAGTCCGCTTCCTCAACCGCTAAGCCACCACTGCCCTATTCTAATAATGGATGATTTTATATACACTATATATAGATATATGCATGTATGTATATATATATATGTATATATATGTATATATGTATATATATGTATGTATATATATGTATATATGTATATATATGTATGTATATATATGTATATATGTATATATATGTATGTATATATATATATGTATATATATATATATATATACTGTATATACATATACACACACACAGAGGAACCTCTGTTTTTCCATGATCCGCGCTGAAGGCCATTCGTGAACCAAAAAGTTCAAAAAACTGAAACAATTTTCCCCGTAGGAATCAATGTGAAATGGATTTGTACCTTCCTGGACATTCCCTCCCGCGTGATTGCTCATTCAAACGGTTTCAACAGTATTTTGTATTTTGGGGGAAATTGTTCAGTTTTCAAACTTTCGGTTCACCAAAGGTACTTTGAGCCCAGTATAAACAGGGCGAACTGTCTTTAACTTCCTGACCTGGGATCTTCTTGTGTCCAGAATGTGGAGGAACACTGTTGGAAGAAAAAGGCTTTATCTCGTCTCCGTTCTTCCCTTCCAACTTTCCACCTCGAACCTCATGTGTGTGGAACATTGAGGTAAAAACATTTGACAGAAATGTGAAAGTCAAAATTCTGTTTAAAAAAACACTAATTTGATTTGATTTCTTTTTTTCTTTTTTTTTCTTTTCTTAAGGTCCCTAAGGAAAAGTTCATAAAGGTTCAGTTCCACAAGTTTCTGTTAGGAAATGAGAGTGAAAACTGCCGTAGAGATTATCTTCAAATAAATGATCAAAGGTTACAACATTCTTAGTTGTTAGTTTACTAAAAAAATGTAAAAAAAAAAATGTTTGTTTACATAAGATTTTTTTAAAATCCTTATAATTTCTTGTGGGAATTTCTGCTGCCTTTATAAGTTGTTTTAAGAGTCAGTTGTGTCACAATTTGTTTAATTTCTGCTGCCTTTATAAGTTGTTTTTAAGAGTGTGTGCTTTCCTCAAAAAACTTTCTGGTTCACAATTCTTGTTGTTGTTGTTGTATTGTTTTCAAATTGTAAAGCTAATGTATTTGTGAAGCTATTAGTATGGTTATAAAACAAATTCTTTCTCGCAGATTTTCCAAAATACAAGTACATTTAATCTCACTTTACATTTTCCCTTTTTCTATCTTCAGACTTTGTGGCAGAGAGTTAAAAAACTCTGTTTTTACCAGTACAAAAAACCAGATGACCATTAAATTTCACTCCGACTCCTCTTATGTGGATCAGGGTTTTACTGCGGAGTACGAAGCCTTCATTCCCTCCAACCGTAGGAGTGATTTTTATTTCGTTTAATTTTCTGACCTGTTCACAAACTTTGTGTTTTTAAGCACATCTGTGTGTTTTTTTGGGTTTGGTTTCACCCAGCTTGCCCGGGAAAGTTCAGATGTTCCAACAACCTGTGCATAAACATGACTCTACACTGCGATGGTTGGGACGACTGTGGAGATAGCAGTGATGAGCAGGACTGTGGTGAGTCCAGATGCTCTGGTTTCATATTTACATATATTTAGTTGAATCCGCAGAGTCATTTTTAGGGCCGTGTTTGTTTGTTTGCATTTTCTCAGACTGCGACCAGTTTCAGATGAAGTGTAAAAATGGTCTCTGTAAACCGTATTTCTGGAGGTGTGACGGTTCTGACGACTGCGGGGACAGAACTGATGAGGAAAACTGCGGTGAGTTGTCCAAAAACGCTGTCAAAAACCAATTCCAAATAAACTGGAAAAAATAACTTTTTCAATTTTTCTTTTCTTTTTTTTTTTCTCTCATTGTAGGAACATGTAAAGCAGGGGAATTCTCCTGCAGGAATGGGAAATGTATCCCAGAGAAACTCAAGTGTAACTATAAAGATGACTGTGGAGATGGATCTGATGAGTCCAAGTGTGAAAAATGTACTTATATTCCTTTTAACTATGAGTTTATGTATGAAATAATTGAGCTGTCATTTAGTACGGTAATCTGGTGTCATACCCTTACCTAATTTTCCGGACTATAAATTGCACTTGCATCCTTTGGCTGGGTTTGCAACTTATTCTCAGATGTGACTTATATATCAAAATATATGTTTAAATTTTTATTTTCACACCGACAGCCACTAGAGGGCACTCTAGCTGGATGGTTTTACTTATACTCCGGAGCAAATTATGTTTTTTTTTTCTCTTCTTTATTATGCATTTTTTGGCTGATGAGACTTATGCAGCAGAGCAACTTATAGTCCGGAAAATACGTTAATGATGTTAACGAATAGAAAATCTTGAAATGACATGCAATTGATGAAATAATCTGAGCTCAGACAAATCAACACAAAACAGCTACATTTTACAAATGACAGTAATAATATCATAGCTTATACTTTTAGTTGTTTTCTTACTTTCATCTATTTTATTCTTTGCTCAACGTAACTGTTACAAGAAGGTGGTATTAATTAATTCACTAGGCCGTTAACTGGTTAGTTGTTCTGTCTCTCTCTCACATTTTAGCTCTGGTTCTGCAGCACTGCTCCGCATTCACCTTCCGCTGCTCAAATGGACAATGCATCAGTAAAGTGAACCCGGAGTGTGACGACGAGAAAGACTGTGAGGACGGATCAGATGAGGAAAACTGCCGTATGTTACCTAAAAAAAACTCACTCACTCACTATAAATAGACCACTGGACTTGTTTGGTGTTTGGAAGACACTTTACCTAATATCCAAAAAGCTTCTTAAGTTCTAACTTAACTGACTGCTTACAAATTCCAGTATTTTAGCCTCTGATTGACTGAAGCGACACGATCGAGAGTGAATCTGAAAATAGTCAGCGCTCGCTAATGTCTTGATTTATCGATCGCATGAGGTAGCGATTCGCAAATTTTGAGGCACAAGATGACATACTTAACTGTTCTTGGGTACATACTGTATATGGCCCAGTGTTTTAAGCTTCCGATCGCACCGTTGCAGGGAATTGCTTGCACTTATACTAGCCTAGTTATACTATTTAAAGTAAGTAAAAAAAAAAAAAAAGATTTTTGTTATAAAATCCTTTTTTTTCCCCACCAATTCTTAATTCTTCACAATCCTTTGTTGTGTTTTTGGTCTTTTTTTTTTTTTAGGGTGTGGCACAAGGCCATATCGAAGTTCCAGAATAGTGGGGGGTCAGGTGTCCCGTGAAGGGGAGTGGCCTTGGCAGGTTAGCCTTCAAATCAAAGGCACCGGTCACGTGTGCGGGGGGTCGGTGTTGAGTCAACAGTGGCTGCTGACAGCTGCTCATTGTGTTCAGGACAATGGGCCAAACAAGTAGGTGATCTCTTATCTCTTGGCTGTCTGTTGCCATCACACAAAAAAGGTTCTTCATCGTACTTTTTCCTCGGGGGCAGGTACTCACAGGCTGACCAGTGGGAAGCCCTGCTTGGTCTCCATGTTCAGAGTCAGACCAACGAGTGGACGGTGAGGAGGAGCATAAAACGCATCATCGCTCACCAGGATTACAACCCGCTGACATATGACAACGACATAGCTCTGATGGAGCTTTCCCAGGAGGTGGTGCTCAACCAGAACATCTGGCCCATCTGCCTCCCATCCTCCACCCATGATTTCCCAGCAGGCCAAGAGGCTTGGATCACAGGCTGGGGAGCCACCAGAGAGGGAGGTGAGAACGGAAAAGGTTTTATTTTTTTTGAAATGTCAGTCAATTAAAAATAAATGATGATAAGGTCCATTGTTCAGTCTGTACTTCTCAAATAGTGGGGCTGGTGGGGGGGGGGTGCAACGGGCTTCCAATGGAGTATGGTATGGGCACTGGACATAAGTGTACCACTGCTCTAATGCTTAAATGATAACAAGCCTCCAGTCACTAGGTGGCAGCAACTCATACAGTGTCATACAGATAAAAAATATACATGTTATAAGGTTCTCAAGAGGGGGAGAAGGTACCAGTCTATTGTCCAATGCCATGAGTAGGTCAGTAGTAACCTTAACCAGTGCTGTTTCTGTGCTACGGTGTGATCTGAACCCTGATTGGAAGGCTTCAAATAAACTCGACAAAATCGACAAAAGCTTACTCAAACATTTTCCACACAAAAGGGAGATTTGATATTGGTTGATAAGGTTCCAGAATCTATTGTAAGGGTTTGACTACAGCAGTTTAGATTGCTCTACCTACACAGGCAGTCTGTATTGATTGATTGATTGATTGATTGATTGATTTGATCTAACCCTAAGGTTTTAATAAGGCAAAATGTTTCCTTAAACCAGTAGTTCTTAATTATTTTCTTCATGACAGAAATGTTATCAGTCCCTCCTCAACCGCCCCTACGATCCACACCCCCGCAAATTGAAATACTGTTGAGAACCTGAAAACACGTATATTTTTTATCTGTACAAGCCACTGTATGAGTTGCTGCCACCTAGTGACTGGAGGCTTGTTATCATTCAAGCATTACAGCAGTGGTACACTTTTTGTATGGTTCTTAGACCTTTTTGGTCATTTCCAATGCCAAACAAGTAGGATTTTTTTTTTAAACCCCTCCTGCCCCACAGAGAACTTTGACTTTTCTCAAATTTATAGAACAACACCAAATAACATCTTATTTTATAATGAATCAAAACGAATAACATCAAATAACACGTCCAAACACTTTGACAAGAACAAGACCAGTTCTGCAGGAACATGTAGTTTGTCTTGTATAAATAGTTTTATTTTTGGTGGGGTTTTTTTTATATCAATTTATCTTAAAAGGGTTGTTAATCTTTTAGGAAACACTGCCACCGTCCTACAGAAGGCTGAAGTTCGAATCATCAACAGCACAGTGTGTAAGCGCCTGATGAATGATGAGATTTCTGAAGAGATGCTGTGTGCAGGAGTCCTAAAAGGAGGCGTGGATGCATGTCAGGTATTGACCAATAACATAATAACATAACATGGCGCTTTGGCCCAGAGGCAATGTCTCTGTCATTGGTGTGGAACCCAAGGGTTCACCTCCTGGGCAAGTTCAAATCCCGGTTAGGGCAGTTGGATAAACAAGAAAAAAGAGAAAAAAATTCATTTGAGTTTAACGAGTCTTTATCCCCCCCCCTTCCTTCCCTCAGGGTGACTCTGGTGGGCCCCTGTCGGTGACCACTCCTAGTGGGCGCGTCTTTCAGGCAGGCTTGGTCAGCTGGGGTGACGGCTGCGCACGGAGGAACAAACCTGGAGTCTACACAAGGATCACAAAATACCGTAGCTGGATTAAAGACAAAAGTGGAGTTTAACTGAAACTGCTGCTTTCTAAACCCACAACATGTAAACTCAACTATTACTGTCTACTCAGTTTACAAACACACAAGTGAAAACTAAGGAAAACGACTCAGGAAATGCTGTTAGCTTTTAATTACATTTAGGCACTGATTTAATGTTTAACACATTTTATACTTTTTATGTTATTATGTAAAAGGCCAAACCAAGAAAGTGTTCTATCGCACTTTTTTTGTTCTTAATTCTGGTTTTCAGATGTAGTTTTTTTAGTTTGAGGGGGGGAAAAAAAGCTTTGAATTCATTAGAGGTTTTCCTCTAAATATTTGTACATTTTATTGCAAAAACGTTGTTTGTTTGTTTCTCATTATTTATATTGTAGTCTGTCTTTGTTTTCGACAACGGGAGAATAACTGTTTTTCTGGTGAAGGTGTAATTTTTTACTTAAATCTGTTTTAAGCTTAAAACAGAAGGTATGTGTTGAATGCCTTGCACTTTTTTAACCTGTGAAATTTTTAAAGAAAGAAAAAATGGTAAAACCAAATGTGTATATTGTAGATATATGTATTATGTACATGGTCTTTGATATTTCTAAAAAAATATATATAAATGTCAAAGCTCCAACAATAAACTCAGTTTTACACTTAATACAAGATTTTGTTGTCATTAATAAACCAAAACTCAATGTACTTTATTTGTCATATACTCAGCGAACACACTGTAGTGAAATTATAGATATACATATACATTCTATATTATATTTTCTTCATTTAAAGTGAGATTTTAAGATTAGAATTCCGAGAAAAAAATTATCGTGTAAAAAATTTTTTTTACACGATAATACACACCACAGCGTATTTGTCCCCCCGAGTACAGTATTTTACTCGATTTTATTACCCTTCACTATCACCATGCATCAAAACAATACGACGGAAAGCGGAAAACAAGCGGAAGTGACGCATTGCAAAGAGGGAAATCCAAAAACGGAAACGTAGAAGTAGAATCTCCGAGTCAAGCGTTCAAAAGCTGTAAAGAACGTCAGAAGTAATACGCAAAGTGAGTGAAAATAGATTAATTTAAGATAAAACCGCGAGAAGTTATTCTTTGTTCTATACGATAGGAGGGTACGTGTTAGTAGTGCGCATATCCATACGGTTCTATGAAGAACTAACAGAAGCTAACACGGTTAACGCTGCTAATTTCCGTCTTCTGTTTAGGCTTTATTTTGGTTTCTCAAAAACAAAACAAAAAGAACAAACAAACAAAAAACCCCAACAAAAAACAGCATATTAACATGAATGATAGATATTTTTTTTGTCATTTTCAGTAAACAGCTTTATGCATCAGGATCTGTGCATTGCATTAAGAACGATTTTATTAGTTTTTTTTGACAGTAGAAAATTATTTTATGTTATATATTACTTTTGACGCAGGTGAAACTAAATAAATATTCCCTGTCTTGAAGGGAACGCAAATTTCAATATGTGTGCATTATTTCAACTAATTATTTAAACAATCGAAATTTGATAATTACAACATTTCAGATTTGTTCCTTTTCAGAATTGCCATTTATTTTTTTTGCAAATAAAAGTCATTTTAAAAAATTTATTTATTTTTTTGCAAATAAAAATCATTTAAAAATATGTCTCTTTTATCATCGAAATAATAAAAGAATAAGAACAATGCAGAGAGTGTCTCGGCTGAAACGTGAACTTGAGATGCTCAGCACTGAACCTCCCCCTGGAATAACGTGCTGGCAGACGGAGGAACAAATGGACAAGCTGCATGCTCGTAAGTTGCCAGACTTTCTGACCATTTTTATTTTTTACCCATCATAATTATAATTCAAATCAGAACACTTTGGGAAAAAAATATTACCTTTTAATCAAAGCTCTGCAGAAATCTCTGTATCTGGTCCTTTGCAGAGATTGTTGGCGGAACAGGAACTGTTTATGAAGGTGGAATCTTCTCACTTGAGATCAGTGTCCCACAGAGGTTTGAGGTTTCAATTGACATTACTGATGCTTGAGTGATGACTTTACACTAACAGCTGTAGAGATTTAACGAATTCAACATATAAATTGAGTGCAAAGTGATTGTCTGTGCTGTCCTTACCCCTTTTTTTTTCTTTACCATTGTCTTTTGTGATGTCACGCATCTGTTTAACAATGTAAATTGTACATGGGCACATTATCAAACTACTGTTCCCTGCTAGGTACCCATTTGAACCTCCCAAAATCCGTTTCCTGACTCCTATCTA